GCCTCTTTAATTCCCAATATCTCTCATCCCTGTACCTCTTCATAAGCGTTCTGAAGTGTTAGCATGTGGACATTACAGATTAAATCAGCCCCCCCCCCCCCAAAAAAAAAATTCCCATCCACCCCATATCGGACTCTGTTGATTTACTGAGAATTACTTCAGCCATTCAAAGTTCAAATGCATGAAACATAGACTACTGCAAAACAGTGAAATAAGCATATTGGATGTTACATGCAACCTGTCATTGGCTTGTTGGCACTGGGCAAACAGCACTGGTGTAAAATAAAAGCAGCATCCTGAAGTCATATTTAAAGGCAAACAATTTAGGATAAATTATGCATTAGCAGGTTTTGGATGAACAGCAGCGATTTCTCAATCGTCCTTCAGGTGTTTGTGTGACTCCCATTTGGCCAGTGGGGACAGACACACTGCACTTCCCCTCAGTCACATGACTTCACAGAACTGAACCTGTCCCATGCCAGCTTGCCAAGTCTTCGCCTCCTGCTGTTAAAATTGCATTTCTTGGTTTAGTAACTAAGAAATTCTTTGACGTGATATTATAACCAAAAGCTGTGGTAGCAGTTATATATCTGTTCATGTCCTGCAGTTACACCAAATTGAAAATATAAGATCATTTTTACAGTGTGTAATGAGTCTTGGTGCTGCAAAATGATTTTAATAATATGTTTGTAATGGCCAATCAAGAGGCTGCTCTCTCCAGCTGCTTCTCTCTCTATCCATCCATCTCTCTATTCATCCATCTCTCTATCCATCCTCCCAGCAGGCTGAGGCTCTGCTATTAGCAGCCAGGGGCATAGCTAGAAATTATGGGCCCCCTGAGAAAATGCCCTCTCCCATTATATAATTTTATCATATTACCTATTAAAGGCCCCCTGTAAAGTGCAATTCCTAAAGTACAATTCCTCTGTATTTGAATTTCATGCATTTGAAGATGTTTTAACTCTGTCCTGTATGTCATTTAATTGTTAAGGGCATCATGTCAAGCACTACTGCACAGGATCATTTTAGTTTTTTTGAAGTTTTTATCCTCTTGTCTGCTTTGCATTAAATAGTGATGTTATGGACATTAACCCTTCATAGTTAAGCCATAAAAACCACAAGCGTTTACTTCATTTTCACCCCCAAACTCTACACTGCTGTTAGCTTCCTCTCATTTGTGCTGATCTGTCACATGCTCACCACTTTGCTCTGTCATTCATTATTATTTATTGCTAATTCTGTAACACTGCTCCAGCATTCTCTGTATTCTACCCACTGTGCCACTTTATAATGCTACCTTGCTCTGCCACATATTACTTTGCTGTGTCATGGTGGATGTTGTATTATATGTTGTAAGATATGCAGTACAGTATATGGACAACAGTATTTGGACACATGGTCAGGCAATGACGGACGTGAAGGTGAAGGCCAGGCTGACAGTCTCAGTCATAAGGGATTTCAATAATGCACCACATTGTGTTTTATAGCCACTGGCTACGTTATTTCTGATTTCCCTTCTTTTCTCTTTCATGTTTTTAGGCGATTGCCTTTCGATGAGGGTGACAATAAAGATGGCGATGATGGCAGTAACCGCAGTGGTGATGGTGACGACGGTGGTGGCAGATATCCGGGAATTAATGACAGCACCCCCTAGTGTCCGTAATGTTTGTTTATCAAAATGGAGAGAGCGGTAAGTATGTGGAGCCCCCCAGTGAAGGCGGACATCGGGGGCCGGTGAATTTAAAGGTAAGTGAATCTGTATCTTTTTTTCATCCCCCTTTAGGTTTTGATGAAGATGAAATGAGGATCACGATAAGGATGGTGACTGTGATGATGATGGTGACTGTGACTGGGAATACGGTGGTAAGGACCGTAGCAGCGGTTTTCCCCACTTTAATGACAATGCCCCCTTTANCAAAATGATTTTAATAATATGTTTGTAATGGCCAACCATGAGGCTGATCTCTCCAGCCGCTTCTCTGTCTATCCATCCATCTCTCTATTAATCCATCTCTCTATCCATCTCTCTATCCATCCATCTCTCTATCCATCCTCCCAGCAGGCTGAAGCTCTGCTATTAGCAGCCAGGGGCGTAGCTAGAGAATCTGGGCCCCCTGAGAAAACCCCCCCCCCCCCCCCCTTTAGACTCTGTGAGGGTATCCATGCCCCTACTGTCCCTCTGTTAGCAGCCCAGTGATGCTGAAAGCAGGACAGTGACCCCAAGCTGCCTTAAGTTCAAACTTTTTTCCCAGTTTAAACTGTAAATTGCAGTTTTTTGTTAGTAATTTATGGCAAAAGGAGCTTCTGGGCCCTAAGTTTACTTTTCTGATATGTGAGCCAGAGATTTTGGTCAAAATCCATTGAGGTTAAGTAACTCTCTGTGCGTCAAAGAATTCCATAGATTGACCAACAATGGCTTGAAAGGTGATGGAATTATGACCTTCATCGCCCTTCATCGCCTGACTCAAACCATACTGAAAAATACCAGGACGGAAAGCATGATTTACCATGACGGCACACAGTACACTTCTCAGAGCAGCATCTAACATAAGACAAGGCCAAGTCAAAAACATGGGTCAGAGAGGAAAGGTGGCTATACAGGATATTAAAGGTGGACTGACTAACTAATGGCACTTTTATAACTGTCTAATTTTGCTGAAAGCATTAAGAGTCAGTGCTGCTGCAGACAGTAACTGTCTGTGAAGTAACTGTCTGATCTCACAGTGTCATGGCGCAGCTCAAACACATCATGGCAGCAGAGAGGCATGACTCTCAACCGACACCCAATCATCTGCTGTTAATGAACTGCACCTTGTATTTGATCAGCATGAACTATCCTACACTTAAATACTGGCTTTCAGGACTGTGGTTTATTGAGATTTCAGCTTGCTTTGCTGGCATTAGAGCAGTACAGAGTGAGTTAGTCTTGTAATGTTTTCGGTGTTATTGTGTCCTTTCATAGCTTAATGTTTTTTATCTTTGCCTCATCCTATTTTCCTGTTGTCTTCATTGTTTGCTACTTTGATGTTTATCTGTGGATAAAACCTGGACTATTGGGTATCACTTTGGTCGTCCAACTTTTTACTCATCGCATTTTTTAAACTTAACTTGTCACAAAACTGGACACATCATTCACTGAACCCAGGAATTCCTCTGTATTTGTTTTGTACTGTATTTGAATTTCCTGTATTTGAAAAGGTTTTAATTTTGTCCTGTATGTCATTTAATTGTTAAGGGCATCATGTCAAACATGATCATTTTAGTTTTTCTG